CTGCGCCACCAATCAATTAATTGAGTTCGAAATATTGCAATTAATTGCCCCCACAATCAATTATTCGGTAGGCCTGCAAAAAACTAGTATCCGTTGACTCCATTCAGAGTTCTATTGGTTCCATTCGCACTCCATTGCTAACCCTGGCCTATACCTCTTTATTACTAACTCTAACCCGAATCCTAATTTAACCATAAAAAAAAAGCCGACAAAAAAGAAATATTATTAGAGTAACGTAGCCAATATTATTGCAAAATTATCTGGGTGCCCATAAGGGTGGCCTGATGATATCAGGCAGTAAATAAGTAATATATATGTCATACGCAGGCAAGTAGCATACGTAGTAAACTTAAAATCTTGTGCATTATTGGATTTCAGCTTAAATAAACGCAAAAATTATATTGATATGTTTTCGCTCATATAAGGCCTAGCGATCATACTATGTTCCTGGTTTAAGCGTGACTACGTCGCGCCGCTACCCTAATTAAATGTACGTAGTAGCAATATAGTGAGAAATTAATTGGATGAAATGCAACAATTAAGATAATCTGTAGAATCCCAGGCTTTTCCGCAGTACTCACGTGGTCATTCCAGCGCGTCGCTTGTTTCGTTACGAAGATTAGTTTCATAATTATACAAATGGATTCTCATTACTCCTTGTAATAATGAGAGGTGAGTATTAAATACGAACAACTGCCAAATGAAAGAGAAATGGAAAAAAAGGTAACTTAGATTATATATATATATACAGTACATAAAAATACGTCATAACTGTAACAATTAACGGTAATAAAATACAGTAGACTCTTTGGGCAGATGATCAAATTAAATTAAATGGCCCGATCACGTGAATTTTTATCTTATAATTTCTGCATTGTAATAATAATTAGATAATATATCTGGGATGTCACCGTTTACGACAAACGGTTTATTAAGAGCTGTAGACACTTCAATAATATCAACGTTCTATCGGAGAGGTAAGATAAACGGATCTTTACTAGGAAAATGACTCCAAGACTGTGTAGATCTTATTAACAAAATTTAAAACTGTTAACTATTCATATGATCCAATTGGGAATAATTTTTTTTCGTTCTACGAAATAAAAAGTTATTCAAATCGGATCATAGTCCTGGAGTCGTTTTACTAGCAAAATCTTAAAATTATACCATTTTTAATCCATTTATTTTATCAGACGCGTTCAATTTGTATCTTAAATGATCACAGTAATTTTGATCTATATTACTAGGTATTTCACAGCTCGCAATTAGTCGTCGGTATTTTGGAACAAATCACACTATTAGAGTCTTTAATCAACGACGATTGCAATTACTGGAAGCTGAGGCAAATTCATTTCCCAATGACGCGACTAAACAGGTTGAATATTATAAAGTAGGTGATTATCTTCGTTGAGCGTTAAAAAAAAGACAAAAACAAAATACATTTGGTTTGCCGAATTCTGGAAAAGATGAAATTTCATGATCATCTACATCTTGATTTATTTAATTTTAGGAACTACTTAGATCTAATAATCATAATGCGGTTATTGCTCGATTCGAACGTGGAAATTTTGCGCATGATGATGAATGTTTTCGAGCATATATCACTGCATTAGCTAAAGCAGGTCAAGTAGACAAAGTATTACCAAAAATAATACAGAAATTAGAACAATCTGGTGTTACCGGTGTCGATGGAGGTAGATGATATTATATGCTGCTACTGGTTTCGTACAATAAACCCCCTAACATATGTATGTCTTAACTAAGCTTCAACGAGAGCAACTTCAACGAACGATTTGGTACACACGATTGTTAAAAGCCAAGGAAAAAAAAACTACTACAGAAGGTGGTCCATCAGTTGCAGCATCAAATGCTGGTAATAAAGAAAACCCTATTTATGTTGTAATCGAAGGAGGTGAGGGTTTTTCATAAAAAACTACAAAATTATTAATGATACTATTGTATGCTAATATTTTGCTGCTTTTTTTTTTTCTTTTTTTTAAACTCAGCACGGGGATATATGTTTTGGCGTGCTTTACGCTGGGTTGGCATTACATTCACGTATGCCTTTTGTATCATCACTTTTCTTAGTATTGCTATGGAAAATTCGGGACTATTAAAGACCGGTGGATCACAGTCGGAATTTGAACCGTCTTCACAGCAGGTGGTTAAATTTTCTGATGTGCATGGTGTTGATGAAGCCAAGGAAGAGTTGGAGGAATTGGTCGAATTCTTAAAGGACCCTTCAAAGTTTACAGGTTTAGGAGGGAGACTTCCAAAAGGTGTTTTACTTACTGGTCCTCCAGGTACTGGAAAAACATTATTAGCACGTGCCGTTGCAGGAGAAGCTGGTGTGCCATTCTTTTTTATGTCCGGCTCAGAATTTGATGAGATGTATGTTGGAGTTGGTGCAAGAAGAGTGCGTGAACTTTTTGCTGCTGCGAGACGCAAGGCACCTAGCATAGTTTTTATAGATGAGTTGGATGCAATTGGCTCAAAACGCAATCCGAAGGATCAAACATATATGAAGCAAACGCTTAACCAATTATTGGTTGATTTGGATGGATTTTCGCAAACTGAAGGAGTTATTTTCATAGCTGCAACAAACTTTCCTGAACTTCTGGATAAAGCATTGGTCCGACCTGGTCGTTTCGATAGACATGTAGCTGTGCCACTTCCAGATGTGCATGGTAGAATGCAAATTTTGGACCATCATCTAAAAAATGTTCAAATTTCAAATGATGTAAAAATTAGCGTTATAGCACGTGGAACACCAGGTTTTTCAGGCGCAGATTTAGCTAATCTGGTTAATCAAGCGGCGATTCAAGCTTCGAGAGATGGTGCACAAGAGGTTGCAATGCGACATATGGAATATGCCAAGGACAAGATACTTATGGGTGCTGAGCGTAAATCTGCCATAATAACTAGTGAAAATAAAAAATTAACTGCATATCATGAAGGTGGACATGCATTGGTGGCCTTGTATACGCCTGGAGCTTTACCACTGCATAAGGCTACAATTATGCCACGGGGTTCTACTCTTGGCATGGTTAGTAATAAGCATTAATGTTTATTATTTATAAATTAATTGTGATAAGAATATTGTGTTTTTTCCTACAGACAGTACAATTGCCTGAAATGGATAAAGATAATTACACCAAAAAAGAATTTCTTGCAATGGTTGACGTTGCTATGGGTGGAAGAGTTGCAGAAGAAATGATTTTTGGTAAAGAAAACGTTACAACGGGATCACATAATGATATTGTAAACGCAACAAATGTTGCCAAAAGGATGGTGACGTTATATGGCATGAGCGATAAGGTACGTATTACTAACATATGTCCTTGCTATCGTGCAACTTATATATTTCATTAATATTATCGTACATACGTTTAGGTTGGTCCAGTAGCTCATCCCGAAGAAGACATGGAACATTTAAGTTCTCAGACTAAATTAATTATTGAAAATGAAATCAAGTCATTATTGGAGGTTTGTTTTGTGCATACGTTCGTTCATCTATATTTATATTATTAATAAAATTACTAATGAAAATTGATATTAGAATGCTCAAATTCGGGTGGCAATTATTTTGAAAGCTCATAAAGACGAATTACATCGACTGGCAAATGCCTTGATAGAATATGAAACTCTTACACAAGAAGAAATTGAGTCAGTCATTAAAGGCAAAGCTATTAATCGATGAAAAAATATTTATAAGTAACAAAACTTTTTTTATTTACTGGACAATTTAATATTGATTTGAGAATAGATTTTTTAAATTTTGTAAAAAATTGTTCTTGATTTATTGTTCCCTTTTTTTTTTTTTTTTTTCTTCCTGGCATGTTCGGTGCAAAAGTACATAAAATTACATCAACTGGATATGGATTGACCCGAAACTTTTATGTAACCTGTTTAGAACAAAATTTGTTTATGAACATAATTCTTTCTATGTATTCATATATTTCCTACATTAAGATTAAGTTCACACTAGTTACACAAAAGGTGCTATCTAAATGGTTGTTAAGATAGTTAACCACTATGGTTCAATAAGCATAGCTTATAGGTTTACAGACATCTTAACAACAGATTATTGTTATGCGAAATCTATTAAAATTCATCCCAAAGAAACATTTCTGTGAATTTGTGTTATTGCACATATCTTAATATTTAATGTAACATTACAAACAAAATTTACAAAATTAAAAATTAAATTCCTAATAAGTCATGACATTTTAACACTATTAAGACGTTGGTCATTAATATTTTGTTCGTAAGAAATTTTATAAAGACGTGCTTTGTAAATGTATTATATTTGTACGTATATTATTTAAAGGATTTCTTTAAAATAGACCCGGGGTCTAGGTTATTATCCTACTCTCAATTTTAATTTTTTGGGGTTAGGGTTAGTTAGCACGTGATGACTATTTTAAATTTAATTTATTTATTTTTGGTCATAGGTTAATAACCTAGACCCCGGGCCTATTTTAAAGACACCCTTATTTAAAAGATTATAAAATTGAACAAATTTATTTGTAACAGGTTGTTATATATATATAGCTTATTTAGTACTATCAATACGATCAAACCCTAAAACTAAAAATTATTGGCCAATTAATAGGCTGTTACATATAACTGCTGTTCCGGATTAAGGTTTGGGTTAGAATATGGTTTATACAAATTTTTTTTTTTTTTGTTAGAACCCAAAAAAGCAGTTTTATAAATAAAATTTGTTTATATATTATATATATAGTATATAAATAGAAAGTTTATTTAATTTAATTGGCTGATTTATATATAGATTTACAAATTTTGATTAAGTAAACTTCTGTATATCAAATAAAATTTATATATTTTTTATTAATATTTCTTTTATATTATAAAAGTCAATATAAAGTTTAATATATGGAAGTTTTATAAGACAACTTTTTTAATAATTACCCGAACTATGTTTTTTATCAAATGCAAGTTAAAACTCAAATTTTAAAATCTAAAATTATTCTAGTACCAGTATATTTGTTAATAAAATTCATAAACATAATATACTAAAAAGCAGATATTTTAAATAGTTTTCTAAAAGACCAAACTTGCTGGTTGTAGTAAATTTTTGTATTGGTATTCAAGCCAGAAGGGTATTCTGATAACAATAAAATAGATTATTGATAATAAGTTCTTAGATATAATAAACAAAAATACAGATATCTAAAATAGTTTTTAAAAAAATTAAGCTATAAATAATTAAAGATAAAGAACTAAACAATTAAATAAATTTTTTTAAAAATTTAAATTCTTACAATATTATAATTTTTTAGATTTTATTTTTTAACAAAAAATAGATAATATACTTATTTTTTTTAAAATATTAGTATTTTTTTTTTTAGCAATTCTGCTTTTATTATTTTAATTAAAAATATCAAAATTTTATATTTAAACTAAATATAATTTTCTATACTATAATTTTATACTAATAAAAACTCATTTAGTTATTAAGTTCAGGTATGATCTACTTAAGCAGCTATTTGTTTCATGTTGAATTTTTAACTTCCTGAAAATTTATTTTTTTTGATCATAAGCTGGGGTTGTTGACTTTGTCAAGTTTGCTTATATTTTTTCCAATATTAGTTCAAGAGGACTAGTTAGGTTTGATATAATATTTGATTAGGTTTTAGTTATTCTCTTGTACTAGGTTTAAGATTTGTTTTTTCTTTTCTTTTTGAACTTGTTTCTGTACTTTTTTTTTTTAATAATCTTGTTCTCTTTATTTTTAGACCTCTATACTATTCGATTTTTCTTTTGTTTTCTTTTTTTTTGATTTTATTTGTTATGTTCTGTTTCTTTTCTTAATCGTTAACTAGCTTATATCTAAAATTTTATATATGTTTTTGAAATCCTTTATTAAACTTCTTTTTAACCATATTAAGCACTATTTATCATTGGTTTCTATTTTTAATCTTGTTTTAAATCTCTTTTTTCTTAATTTTAATTATAAGGTTTTTTATTATAAGGGAGGCATGTCTAATTTAGCCAGTGCCTAATTTGACACATGATGATATCTCAAGAACTATTGATCAGAATTATATGATTCTTATACTATTCGATTTGTCTCATCGAAACGAATTGAACAGTATCAAAATCACGTGGTTTTGATCAATAGTTCTTGAGATACTCTATTTAACCAAAATAACCCAAAATAGATATATCTAATCTGATACAAGTAAATGTTTATGATAAATATTATGTGATGTATCAATCAGAATCACAAGATTTTGGTACCATAATACATTATATAATATTTATCATAAATGTTTACTTGTGTCAGATTAGGCACTATTTCAAATTATGAACATATTTTTAGACAACTTTTAATAAGTGATATCTCATGATTTAGTGATTAGAATTAGATAATTTTAGTACTATTCGATTCGTCTCATCGAGACGAATTGAATAGTGCTAAAATTATCTGGCTCTGATCGATATATCATGTGATATTTATTAAAAACGTTAGCTGCATCAAAATAAGCATGCCTCCTTTATATCTTCTTGTTTCTTTTTTTTTCTTGTATTCTTCTAAAGAATAAAGCTTTGATTTTTTCTTTGTTTGTAAGTTCTGCTTTTGTATTTTTTTTGAAGTACTTTAAGGCTTTCTTAATTTGCTTTATCTTCAATAATATCTCAGATATTTTGATACTCTTTGTATTTGACAATATGATTTATGTCTTCTGCTTTATCTTCACATATTATATATATATTTATTAGATTTTATTAAAAAGTATACCCTGTATCTCAAAATTTTATTAAGACAACCCTGTTGTATAACTAATAAAAAATATTTGTTATACAATTTTAACCTTAATCTAACTAAAATCCTAATCCTAACCTTAATTTTTGAATAAATAATAGCTTATTTGTATTATTTAACTATATCACAAAATTTACTAGAGTAACCTTATTGTATAACTAATAAAAAATATTTCTTATACAATTTTATTAATAAAACAACTCTATTTTTAACTCTTATTTTAACCTTAATACAGTCTGATAATTTGCCAAATATGAATAGTATCGATCACACCTTTTATGGTATAAAAATATCAATCAGATATTTCTAGACATTTCGGTCACATGTTAATTAGCTAATCAGATTATAGTCTTTAATTTTAAAAAGTTAATAATTTGTAGTAACGTACAATGAAATATTCAGTAATAAAAAATTCTTCAAACTTTTCCAAATTTTTAAAATAAATAAAACCCAGCACAATGCAACTTTATTTAATATAATAAAATCGATTTACTTAGTACAGAATTTTACTATAATTATTTTTTTGCAAAAAAACAAATATAAAGATATCTTACCAATTACTAATTTGAATTAAGCGATTTTTATACTATTTGATTCATCTTAATGAGATAAATTAAATAGTATAAAGATCACCAAACTATAATCAATAGAACCTGAGATATCACTAATAATCCAAATTTTAAATTTTTTAAAATTATCCTTATTAGTATCGAAGTAAGACTTTTGATTTTTTTTTTAACTAGAACCTAAAAGATGCTCATGAAACTAATTATTTATAATATAATATATTAAACAGATTAAATAAAAATCAAGCCCAAGAAATAATTATGATAATGTTAATTTTCTTAACTGCTAATAAACTACTTGGATTTTGCTATTTTCTTTTTTCACAAAAATTTAACTTGACTTCCTTATATGTGTCAACCAAACTTGCAAATATATATTTAAATTTTATTGCTTTTTTTTTGAGTAGCTAGACTTTAAAAAAAAAAGGATTATGAACTAGTTTTGGTTAGTAACTTATTCTTTTTTGTTTAATAATATGCAAAAAAATTTGTAATTTTAAGCTCTCATTTACCTTTTTTAAGAATGGTTGACAGGAGAGATTAAGTGGAATTAAATAATATAGGCATTTAATACTATCTATTCATATATCATTCAGTATTGAATTAATAAAAAATTTTTTTAAAACCCTCAAGACAAATTACGATATACAATAATGTACCTAAGAACTAATCAAATTCATGAAATCATATATTGATCATTCTAGAATACGATTTCTTAATTTGGGAATCATCTAAAGCCATGTTCATTATGTGACTTACAGCCAATAGAATTGTTTATTTTGATCGATCAGATTAGCCCGAAGAGACAAAAACAGCGAAAAAAAAGTGAAAATCACAAAAAATACAAGAAATGATAGTCTAAACCCATCTTGATGTATTAATAAAAAATATCGGGAAGACAATTTTACTATAAAACATGCCAGATCCTAACCCAAACTAACCTTACCTAACTTTAATTAAAAAATAAAAAATATATAACTAGACACAGCTTTAGACATCTCTCTAATTTGGCAAATCATCAGACTGTAATATTAATATTAGCTTTATATATTTATACAATAGAGATACACTGAGTACACAGATATACTTTTTAGTTTTTTTTATATTCATTTTGTAAACTTTAGATCTTCTAGTATTTAGTTCTATTAATTAGTGATTCATCAGTCATCTGGTGCATGATCATAGTGTAATATGATACAGATCACTATGTAAATCATATATACCTTGAATGTGATGTTTGCCCAAGAAAAACTTTTTTTATACTAAGTTAATTGCTCTTATGTATTAAGTCAAAATTGTAGAGCTCATTGAGATACATCTAATGGTGGTTAGATCATCCAA